GTCGCAGGGACTGCACGTGCCGGAATGCAGTAAATAGTAATAGCAATAGTAATAGTTAATAGTAGTAGTAGTAGTAGTAGTAGTAGTAGTAGTAGTAGTCATAGTAATAGCGCGGATCCAGAAACTCCCATATCTAGTGCAGCTTTATATGATGTAGTAGAATGCGACACAGTGCAGTGGAGTGCTCCAGCTTGAGCTCTCAACCCGCATGGACCGTCCAGGGTCAAAGCGTTACGTCAAGGCGTTACGTTTTGGTAGTGTCTACAATTGTCTACATACCTACAGCATAAAAATATATAGTAGAATATAATCCTAGCTCCATGAATGGCCTTACATGGCCTCTGTCACATGATACTTCAGGGGGTGCTGGCAGGAGCCTCAGCCTTCAAGAAGTCACCCGAACCTAACCCTGAGGCTCCCTAGTACCCAAACCCAGTAGCAATAATTGAAAAACATCTCTTTGATCCACTTCTGGGCTGCGTCCGGATAGTGCGAATGATCCACCTAGAGGGGTTACACTGGTTGCACCCCGCCTCGACTTCGGATCCCTCCTTTCTACAGGATCCGACGTCGCAAAAACTCCTTTTCACAAAAGACGCCTTCAGCCGTAGATCCCTATACAGTCTCGGCATGGCGTATACTTCTTTGTAGCAGAGCCCCGAAGGTGAGGGCATTGAGGCATGTGATACCTCTGGCCACGTGAAGTGGCCACAGCTATCTCCTCTGGAGATCTCTGACCACGTGAGGCCTCAAGCCTCTGGACTAAGACACGGTTTTCGCCTCTCACCTCTCGAAGGGCTGCGCTGCACTGCTCAACTTCACGGCACTTCTCTCCCAGCACCTGCTCCAAGTGCTTGCAGCGCTCAATGTACTCGTCCATGAAGAGCCTCTCCTCCTTTGTAGGTCCCACTCTGAATGGGATGCTGGCTTGTGTTGCGGCTGCGGCCTTGCTCTCGTTGAAGTCCACTTGCACTTCCTTGTCGCAACTTCCTCTCCTAAGGAAAACTTCCGCAAAACACCACTTAAGGGCCTTGTAGAGGAGGAGGGGAAACCAGCCAACCAAAACCCAGACCAACAGTCCCACTGCTGCTGTTGCCACAAGCTGTGCCACGATCTCGCTTCCGTCCACTGTGAAGGGCCCAGCCATGCCAGACCCAAGCCCAGAAACTGGCCCTCCACATTAACAACTTGGGTCATCAACACCAGGAGCGGGATCAGGGTCTTGATCCTTGCCACATTCACACCGCTTGTGCCCATCTCCTTGAGGGCCTTTGCGATGTTCCGCTTTTGCACCGCTGCTTCCCGCTCTTCTTCGCCATATGGTTCGAGCTGCGGGGTGACTGCTCCCATGAGGAACAAGAGTTCCTTGATTCGCGCACCCCCTAGGGGTTTTGTTCCCAGGTCCGATGGGTTGTCGCTCCCGGGGACGATTCCAACTTCCAGCTCCTTGGCCTGAGCTGCACTTTGAACCCAAAGAAGTCCAGCGTGAAGATGCCGAATCCTCCCGCAACCTAAGCGGTTGCAAACGCCTCTGCAAGCCGCGCTGTCTGAGCGGCTTCTCACTCTCACTCGGGTCATTGGGCTCACAAGGAATCGCAGGCAATCCCCGATGTACATTGCCTCGGAGGTTCCGGAGACGAGTGCAACGAATTCTGCCTCTCCACTGCTTAGGCTTATGGACCGTTGAGTCCGTACCATCGTCCCCACCAAAGTTCCGGACACATACAATTGTATGGACGAAGGGCTTCGTCTCTCTTTTCTACATCCAGCCCAGTCCGAGTCACTTATGCTCTCGACGATCAGGGTCCCGGCTTCACGAAGGGAACCTTTTCCACCATAGCCATAGCATGCCTCGTCCTTGGCGCCGCGGATCATGAAGCCGAATTCTGGCGTGCTGGCCAAGTACCCAACAACGCGTTGCAACATTTTCCAGGCCATTGTACTTGGACTCTGCATGCGGCCGCTGAGGACGCAAGTTGCGAACTGGATGTCCGGTCTCGTGTGGGACAAGTAAAGGAGGCGGCCGACACACTCTCTGTAAAGCTTTGCCTGGGAAGGGCCAAGCTCACCACTGTTGTCGACCTCCACAAAGCTCGCATCTGCCGGCGGGTCTTTCCTCCTGACTTTGTCCCCCACGACCTTCACCAGGGCCTCAAGGTACTTGCCGTTGGAGAAGACAGCGACCCCGCCTTCGACCATAACGTACTTGACTTGCGCTTCAAGAACTCCACCTCGTCACCAACATTGACGAGGGGCTCGCTGACCTGCACCTTCACTTTGGATCCCATGACCTTGATCAACTTCTCGCGCTCCTCCCGGGTGCTTGCTACCATTCCATCGTCAGCGTGCAGGATGAGGCCTGTGGCGTTGGTGGGGTCGGTGTGGCGAAACAGGGTCGGCTCCTTCACATAGTTCTCCATCTTTGCTTCCGCGAGGAGGTCCTTTGCGAAGCCAAACCAAGCGCTAGCTCCTATCCTTGGCCCCGGCAAAAGCTTCTCCAGGATGAGCTCGATGGTGCCGGTGCCGCCCTCTTCCAAGATCCCGCGGTCCACCTCGATAACAACGGGGTGTGGCTGGCCAGCGTTGAGATAAGCGTCCTTGACGTCGAGAACAGCCACCTCTAGGCCCCTCGAAAGAGCCAACGAGATGAAGCTGTGGACGGTTGCAAGTGTGCTTGCTGGGGCAAACATCTCGGCACTCCAATCTGAGAGAAATTTCAACTCTCTGGCGACTAGGCGACTGCGTCTCACCCAGGTGGGCCTGCGCCTCCAATCTCTCACGAGCTTCGTTGTCAGCCTTGGGTACTCATCGAACTTTTCCCCTTCATGGGGTCGTCTGGCAACCTTCATCTCCAGCAACCTAGACAGCTCCTCGTAGTCCGCCCTTCTGTCGATTACCGCCAGGTCCTCAGGAGAAGGATCGGGAGGCTGCTCAGCATCCGCATCCCATGTTGGCTCCCAGCATTCAGCCATCTCGCCCTCTTCGGCCATGGCCTCGCACAGCTCATCTGACCACTTGTCATAGCCAACATGCTCCTCCACAGGCACGTCTCCATGCACATGGCGGATCCCAGCAAACCCAGGCGGGTAAAGGCTTGAGCTGGGACTCGGTGTTGCCACTCCTTGGTCTGATCCCCTAGGCCTGTCCAGCAAGAGCCTGTGGGACGCTTTGGGACACCACCCTGTGTGTCTGCGATGCCACCCTCCTGGTCGACAACACCAGACATAGGACTTGGACCAGGTGGTTGTGGATTTTCTCTGGGTTCCTGTGGTCTGTTCTGCTGCGACTGCTCTAGCTGTGCTCGGCTATGCCCATGACCAGGTGGTTGTGGATTTTCTCTGGGTTCCTGTTGTCTGTTCTGTTGCGACTGCTCTGGCTGTGCTTGGCTGCCGCCGTCATCCATAGGCTCGGGCGAGGAAGTAGTTGAGGAAGTTCCCGGCGATGAAGACGGGTCCGAAGCTGCCTCGTCACCGCCCTGCTGTGGAACAGGTGTGTTTGCAGCAATCTCTGCCGCCGCGGCCCGACCAGCAGCCTTTGCGAGCTCCTCAAGGGTTGCGTTGTCAGGTAGAAGAGGAACTCGGTGGGCCCCGCCTCCTGGGTAAAGGGCTCTTCTCCTCTTTGCTTTTCCCATGTAGTCCCACGGGTAGCCTTGCATGCCCAAGACGCTTGCCGCGCACCATTGTTGTTCACGAGGAAGACGTCTTATGCTTCGGCTTTCGGTAACTCCTTCAGGTGTTCCGAGGATATGAGCTCCATTCCGCTCATTGAGCCCCAGCCACACTCCACGAAGCCACTGTAGCTCACCACGGTGTTTGCTTGCCCGATGGAACAGGATAAGTTCCCCAAACGGGACCATCTTGGCCTTGAAGCGTCTCCCAAAGACTATCTCGAACGGTGGGGCGCCACGAGTACAAACCGCGTACCGGTTAAAGAGGAAGCTGGCATGTCTCATCAGCCAACTGAAGACGTGACGGTGTCCTTCCACTGCTGCTCCAATCCGTGCCTCCAAGAAGGACTTGAGGGTCAGGGCGTTGGTCCGCACGATGTTCACAGCCTTCTCAGCCAAGCCGTTCGAGGCATGGGACGCCCTGGGAATCCAAACCTTGTGCGTTGCAAGGCCCAGCCTCGACCGGCAGCTTTCAACTGCGTTGACCACCTGCTTGATAGGAGCTTCGGGATCGCACTGGAACGTTATCGGCTCCCCCGGGGAGATCAGCATGCTGAGGCGGACCAAGTGTTCCGTCACCCGCTTCAAGGAGGTGGCTCCCTTCTGGGCAATAGGTATTGCCACTGTCCACCCTGTAGTGGACTCAGCCCCCACCAAGGTGAGGCCGTACTGGTTCTGGTAGTCGTCCTCCGCCTTCTCCCTGTCCTCGGGCTGCCCTTGCTCGGGCCTTTGGTCTTGCTCCGGCTCGCCATCATTGCCACCTTCTTGGTTGCTCTCGCCCTTCTGCACCTCGTGCTTCTGCTTGGTGAAGGTATAGGCATAGTCGATCTGAATGGTCGGCGTTGCCCTGGTTTCCTCTTTCACCTCCTGCCCTTGGTCCTTCTCAGCACTCCGGTGCGGACTTTGCTTGCTGCGGCCCACCACACATGCTTCACACCACGGTTGAAAGGGATGGTGCGTGATGTTGTGTAGCTCTTGCTGCCTTGTAGAAGGAAGGATGGGGATTTTGGGCATGTCTGGTGGCCTTTCGTTGTCCGTGTACATCTTCTTGGCCACCTCTGCGCTAAGCTGCCGGCTGAGCACCTCATGATGTTCTTTGAGGCGTCGTAGAACTTTTGCTTTTCCCCCAGAGTGGGAAAGGCCCAGCCGGGCCGGTCACACAATGACTTGAGGGTTCGGAGGGGCGTCTCCACGTGCAACCGAACACCCTCCAACTCATCATCGCCATGCTCCTCGTTGGCCATCGGCTCGCCCTCATGCATCACCTCATCGGCCTCTTCTCCAAGTCCAGCTCCTCCTCCAGTGTCTTCGCCTTCGGGCAAGTATGGACTGGCCCCTTCATTCTCGATGCTCTGGAAGACGGTGCCCGGCTCAGTGAGCAAGCTCTTGGCCAGCTCCTCCACATGGAAAAGAACAATTGCATCTCGCCGCCCGGCGAGGTCGCCATCGATCTCGGAGATAAGCCTTGGTGTGGTTCCGTAGGCCTCCGTGCTCAGAGTCAAGAGCTGGATCCACGTGTCCCCGGGCTTTGGCTTTCTGCTGGCCTCGTCCGCCCTCACAAAAGCAGCCAAGTAGGGCCAATCCTCCTCAGACCAAAGCAGCTTCTCTAAGTCCAGCTCCTCAACCGCATTGGCAACCAGGTCGGGAGGCCATTGCCAAGGATGTGCCAGCCAGGCTTGTCAGCTAGCTCGGCCAGGGGCTCAGGAAGCGGCCCCACATCATCGAAGGTCTCAAGGGCACGCACGGCAGCCGGGGTCGCATGTTGAAGTAAGGGCCGTAATTGCCGAGACTGCCGCCATCATCGTCAATGTGTTTCTCCGCAATCTCACCGGGATGCGGTTCCCATGCTGCTCTATGTGCGGCCTGCCCTCGGAGCTCCCCAAGCACCAGCCCTGCCGCATTAGCCGCCCAAGCGAGACGATAACCGCCTCAATCTTTGCAATGGCGAACTTCTCCCTGATCGTCACCTTGCCGCCCTCAAGGGTCTGCACGTCCAGGTCAAGAACGCGCGTGCCCCGCTCAGGGATTCTCTTTCCTTGCGCGTCCTGCATGACCACGTTCGAGGGCTGAGCCGCCGTGCCGAAACTTGCAAAGCGAAGGGGGGCCAACCCCTCTAGGTGGATCATTCGCACTATCCGGACGCAGCCCAGAAGTGGATCAAAGAGATGTTTTTCATGGTAGCGGAGCCTCGGCGCTCCGGGGCTCTCTAGAGACATAGGCCCGAGGCCCAAGGGATTTAAGTTTCACCCAATAGTTTTTTCTGCTTTTTCTGGTTTTAGCCGCTGGCTGCAGTTCGCTCTGCCCACCGGTCGCTGCTGCCGTTCACTCGGCCAACGCATGCAGCTCTTGCGTAAGACTCCGTGGGGGAGCAGCACCGGAATCTTTTGGTGGCAAAGCTTTTTCAGTGCTTGAGAACAGTTTTGGTGGTTTGGGCCTGGCTGGCTGGAAGCAGTGGGTTTTTGGTACAGTGGTGTGGCAGGGCTGGTTTCAACTGGCTGTGCCGGCGAAGGTCTTTGTGGAAGTGATGGCAGAGCAGCAGCAGGCCGGAGCAGCGCAGCCGGGAGCAGCGCAACCAGCGCAGCCGTCTGTCCCACCGTCTGGGGCAGCAGGGGTTTTTACAGCGGAACAGGCGGACAGGTTGGTCAGGGAAAGGCTTAACCAAGCCTTTTCTTCGGTGTTTGGGAAGCTTATTGAAAGCAGCGAGCGCGCAGCCGTGGCAGCGGAGAAGCAGGCAACGGCAACAAAGAGCGACAACCTGACCAAGGGCTTGAAATGTGATCAGTGGAGGCCCTTGACTCGGGAAGAGGAGCTGAAGACCTGGAGGGAATGGTACTTTGGCTTCACAAATTATTTGGCGAGCCACGACCCGGACTATGAGACCGACCTCAACGACATCGACATGAACAAGGAAGCCACCCACTCCCTTATGACGGCAGAGCAGGTGGCTGTGAGTCAGAGGTTGTATGGCTTGCTGTGTTCCCTCCTTCGTGGAAGGCCTTTGCTGCTTATCCGGTCGTGTGAGAAGACCAAGGCTGGGTACGAGGCGGTGAGAATCCTGAAGAACGAGATGGAGCCGAGGGAGAAAGCTCGCACACTTGCTCTCCTTCGGCAACTGGCGTCCTGGAAATTTGACGAAAAAGGCACCATGCATGAGCAACTTATACGCTATGAGGAGGCCCTTCGAACATATGAGGCCTCTGCTGGAAAGCCTTTCCCGGAGGACGTGGTGCTGGCAACTTTGGTCACGGGACTTCGGGAACCCCTGAGGTCGCAGATCCAGCTTAGGATGGGGGACAAGACAACGTATGCTGAGATCCGCGAGTGGATCTTGTCCTACGAGAGCTTGACCACGCCTTGGGGTTTCAGTGTGCCAAGCAAGCCGGGCAGCAGTGGCCAAGGAGACGCACCTCAGCCAATGGACGTGGACATCGTGAAGGGCAAGAAGGGAAAGGACGGCAAGGGCAAGGCTAAGGACGGAAAGGGCAAGAAGGGCAAGGACGGAAAAGGAAAAGGGAAGGACAAAGGACGGCCGGGAGATGGCAAAGGAGGCTGGAACCAAGGTGGTGGCAAGAGCTGGCCTGGAACCTCGTGGGGCAACAATGGCTGGAGCAATGGTGGCTGGCAGCAAGGCTGGGCCCACACAAAGGGCTGGAAAGGCCAAGGAAAAGGAAAGCAAGGAGGAAAGAGTGACCCAGAGGCTTGCAACATCTGCGGGCAAAGGGGGCACTGGAAATGGGAGTGCCCACAGAAGGGCAAAGGGAAGAGCAAGGTGAATCAAGTGGAGCAGCTGCCGGCCCCTAGCTCGGCAGCCTCTACCTTGACAACGGCGTCGACAACATTGCCCTCGGCCAGCCAGTACAGGGGCAGCGTGAACTTGGTGGAGGCCTATCGCTGCGAGACACCACCGGGGTGCCAGGTCACCCAAGTCTATGATATAAGCGAGCTTGATGATGAGGGTGAGTTCTCGCTTGAAGGTGCGGAGGTGATGGCGGTCTTTGCGGCGAGCCTGGAAGATGCTTACGAGGCCGAGTGGTTCCCGGAGGTTGCGGACCAGGACAATGAGACCGCTAATGTGTTTGAGCCCGGTGTCCAGGTTTTCCCCCTCGACAGCACGGACAATGATGGCAGCTGGGTGTTTGCGCCCGGCCTGGAAGAGGCAGGTTTGGACCAGCCGAACAGCAGTGCCCACGTTCGGGCTGTTCGGGCTGAAGAGCTCGACGTTGTGATTGACAGCGGGGCCGATGTGTCTGCAATAATCATAATATAAGATTAGCAATAGTAACAGTAACAGATACAGAATAATAATAAGGCTGCATGGCTTCTACACGAGGATCCCTCATGACTGCATGGTTGGGCAGGTACTTTCAGGGTGTAGGCTTTAGGGCCTAGGGGCTTTAAGGTCTTAGGGTTTAGGCCCTCGGGCTTCGGGTTTAGGGTTTACAGTTTAAGGCTTTTGGGGTTCGGGGTTTGTCGTTGTCCGTCTAGGGTTTAGGGTGTAGGGTTTAGGGTTTAGGGTTTAGGGTTGTTAAAAAAAAAAACTGCAGGAGTCCGGGGTCGTGGGGTCCCTGCGGGGTCGAAGCCCCGCCAAGCTGCAGGCAT